TCCCGTGGTTGTCCCATGGTTGTCCCGTGGTTGTCCCGTGGTTGTCCCGTGGTTTTGTGGGTGCAAGCCATTCAGAGTCAAACCATACCTCCCGAACCTCCTGAGACCCGCAGGGTGGTAGCGCAGGTGTGGTGGGGGGGAGGAGGGAGGAGGGGGTGGAGGAGGAGGGGGAGGAGGACAAGCTAGGTGCGCTCGCGTCATATCCGACATCCTACCCATCCCTCCCATCCCTTACCATGGCGCAGATCCCCTCTCTACTCGCACATTCGGATGTCAAGCAGGGCGATAATCCCGAAAGGGTACGCGATGCATTGTAGAGCACGGCATGGCATGGCGTAGAAGAGCACCGCGAAGCGTAGTATCAACCTAGCATTGCATTGCATGCCGTGGCATGGCACGGGAAATGACGCCAGCGCTGCAGCGGGAGCACGAATCGAAACGAGCGGAAGCGCGGAAATGAGGCCAGCGCTGCAGCGGGAGCACGATTCGGAACGAGCGGAAGCACGGAAATGAGGCTAGCGCTGCAGCGAGAGCACGATTCGGAACGAGCGGGGCCCGAAAATGAGGCCGGCGCCTCAGCGAGAGCAGCATTTTGGGAAAAATTGCAGGCGAAAACCTAACTCCGGGGAAGGCTTCCCGGGTGCCAGAAGCAGAAATTCAGCATTTTCAAAAGAAAAAATTGTTTTGGAATGGCCTTTTTTCGGCGCCTCCTCGGAACTCGATTTTCTGTCGCCCGCCGGAACCGGCTCTGGACCCGGCCCGGGCGCCGGCCCGGGCGCCGGCTCGGGCGTCCGGCCCGGGCGCCGGCTCGGGCGCCGGCCTGGGCGTCGGAATCGGCCCGGGAGGCCTCCCAGGCGCTGGAAGCAGAAATTCAGAAGAAAAATGTGTATTAGAATGGCTCGGCGCCGCCTCGGAACTCGATTTTCCGGCGCCCGGACCCGGCCCGAGCGCTGGTCCGGGCGCCGGCTCGGGCGTGCAGCCCGGGCGCCGGCGGAAATCAGGCCAGCACTGCAGCGGGAGCACGATTCGGAACGAGCGGGGCCCGAAAATGAGGCCGGCGCCTCAGTGAGAGCAGCATTTTGGAAAAAATGCAGGCGAAAACCTAACTCCGGGGAAACCTGTGTGTAAAAAACAATACGCGGGGGGGGGGGGGGGGGGGGGGGGCGAATATTGGGAGGAGGAGGAGGAGGAGGAGAAGGAGAGGAGGAGGAGGAGGAGGAGGAGGAGGAGGAGGAGGAGGAGGAGGAGGAGGAGGAGGAGGAGAGGGAGGAGGAGGAGGGAGGAGGGAGGAGGGAGGAGGGAGGAGGCAGGAGGGAGGAGGGAGGGAGGGAGGAGGGAGGAGGGGAGGAGGGAGGAGGGAGGAGGGAGGAGGGAGGAGGGAGGAGGAGGAGGAGGAGGAGGAGAGGAGGAGGAGGAGGAGGAGGGGAGGAGGAGGAGGAGGAGGAGGAGGAGGAGGAGGAGGAGGAGGAGGAGGAGGAGGTGGGGAGGAGGAGGAAGAGGAGGAGGAGGAGGAGGAGCAGGAATAGGAATAATATTAAGAAGACGAGTAATGGTAATACTACTAATGCTTTTAACAGTAATTTTACGAATATATTTAATACTACTACGAATGATACTTCTACTTCTCTCTCCACGAATAATTAGAGTACTACGGATCATACGATTAATCATAAGAATAAGGAGGCTGATCAGGAGGAGGAGGAGGAGGAGGATACTACTAATCACATGAATAATAATACGACTAGTACTAATAATAGTAATCTTAAGGGTAAGACGACTGCTACGAATGATAATGCCAAGAATAATGCGAATCAGACGGAGATGAATGAGAGTAAGGCGAGGAGGAGGAGAAGAGGAGGAGGATGGGAGGAAACCCAATCCATCTTGTTTCGTGGCACAGCACGGCAGAGTTCAGCGCAGTGTTTCACGTCCGCGTGGAGGCCTGTCATGGTGGGGCTAGAGGCGTCCGAGATAAAGGAGGAGGAGGAGGAGGAGGAGGAGTAGGAGGAGGAAGAGGAGGAGAAATGTCGAGGGACCGCTCGAGCCACAGCAGCGGGATCGGCAGCATACTGGGCGGCAGGGGCGCATGCAGCGGAGTGGTGTGGGAGGCTTTCAGCGCCTTGGACATCATGATGTACGCTCGTCTCAACAAGAAGATCGGAGGGGACGGGTCGGGGAGGGACCCCTCCGATTCCCCCTCCTCGACAGGGTTCTCCCTCCCTTACATGGATACCCGTCTCCCACCTCAGTGCCCCCCCCTTTCTGGCACCTCGCTGTCGCGCCTTCCCCAAAAGAGCAGGGCGTACACAGGCGCGACGAGACTTCGTGTATACTCCAGGGTTCGGCGCTTACGGGTTCGCGGGGATGAATGGTGAGGGGAACAACCACACCGCCAACACGTGTAAATAGGGCTCGGCTGTTCAGTCCTTCCTTCTCACTCCTTCCTCCTTCTCCCTAACCCTCACACCCCCCTTCCTCTTCTTCCTAGTTAAGGGGAGCTCCGCTGAAGTTTCTCCAAGTGGGTCTGCCTAGGCGGCTTTGGGCTGGTTCGTTCGGGTTACCAGGGGTGTCTTCTGGTGTGAGCTTTGTAGGAGTTGCGGGGCCCGCTCCAAGCAAGGTAGGGGCCACGTCAACGTGCAGAAGCCTGCCCAGCCCTGCGAACCCAGGCCTCGGGGTGAGTGGGGGGCTCGTGCCACTAAGGCGTTGGCCGCGGGTCCTCTGCCGCCAGGGTACAAGCCTTGGCCTGATGAGAAGGAGGGTGCGCATTGTTTGTTTGAACCGCTCAATCGTTTCGTTCGCCGTGCCTGTTTCGATGAGCTCGCGTTGGGTTCCCGACGACGAAGCGGAAGAGGAGGAGGCATGCGGAGGCTTTCGTAGGTTCGGCCTATTGTGTTCTGCTCGGCTAGACCTGTTGTTGCGATTGCGATTGGGGAGGATGAGGAGGAGGAGGAGGAGGAGGAGGAGGAGGAGGAGGAGGAGGAGGAGGATACTGAGGAGTTGGAACACAGAAGGAGCATGACAATGAGAAAGAGACGGAGAAGGAGAAGGGGGAGGAGGGGAGGAGGAGGGGAGGAGGAGGAGGCCTTTTGGGGGCTTCCCCGAGGCCTCTTGAGGGCCTCTGAGGGGCTCCTTGGAGCGTTTCAGGGCTCTCTGTCCGCCAGGCGCCTTCGGAGGCCGTCTTGGGGCACTCTTGGGGCGCTATAGGGCCGTCTTGGAGGCACCTTGGGCCGTCTTGGGGCCCTCTCGGGGCACTCTTTGGGGCCGTCCAGGGAGTCTCTTGGTGGTCCTGGAGCTCTCTTGCAGGTCTCTCGGGGCCATCTTGGAGGTCCCTGGGGCCGTCTTCGGCTGTCGGAGGCACGGGAAGGCGAGAGCGCGAAGCTCATGAAGCAGCGTCTTGATGCCGTCCTGGGATCCACTTGGGCCATCCTGGGGCCGTCGACGGCAGCCCGAAAAGGCGAGGACGCGACAATTATTAACCAACCTGAGGACCATCACTGATTTGGGCCTCTTCGGGCCCTTCAGGAGAGCCTCTTGGAGGCTTCCTGGGCCTCTTGCGCTCATCTTGGGAGGTCTGGGCCGTTTTGGGGCCATCTTGGCCATCCTGGAGGTATCGTTTGCCGTTTGAGAGGCATCCTCTGTGCATTTTGGGCCGTCTTGGCCGTCTTGGGGGCCCTCTTGGGGCCATCTTGATCGGGAACGCCGACGGATGCCTTTTTGCGCGGGTGACCCGCTGGATGAGCCGAGACCTCATTGGACATTCTTTGGGGATGCAACAGCGTTCTCGAAACATTTGCACGCCAAGCACCCTTGTGTAAGCAGAAGGGGTTGGCAGATTGAATACGCCTACGGCGAGCCATCGCCGCCCCCTGCCCTTTAAACAACATCTATGTCGCCACGCGTTGGACCGACGTCTTGCCAAGCTGTTTGGGCGATGTGTTTCTCCGAGCCGTTGTGGAAACCGTTCTGGGTGAAGTATTCGAGGACGGGAGGAATAACAAAAGGAGGATGAGGATACTGATAATGATGATGATGGTGCTGCTGCTGATGATGACGACGATGATGATGACGCTGGTGATGACGCTGATGATGTTGATGTTGATGATGATAATGAATCTGATGATGATGCGGTTGATGATGCTGATGATGATGATGCTGCTGCTGCTGCTGATGATGATGATGATGAGGAGGAGGAGGAGGAGATGATGAGGGTGAGGATGAGGATGAAGATGAGGATGAGGATGAGGATGAGGATGAGGAGGAGGAGCAGGAGGAGGAGGAGGAGGAGGAGGAGGAGGAGGAGGAGGAGGAGGGGGGGGAGGTCAGTTGGGGGCTTCTTCGGGCCGTCTTGTGGCTTTCTGAGGGCCTGTTGGGGGCTTCTCAGGGCCTTTGTGTGTGTTCGGGGCCTCTTGGGGGGCCTGTGGGGGCTGAAAAGGGCCCGCTTGGTCTTCAGAGGCCGTCTTTGAGGCCTCATCGGGCCGTCTCGAGGCTCTTCGGATACTTTCGGGCCGTCTTGGAGGTCTATGGTGCCGTCTTGGGGCAATCTTGGGACAATCTCGGGGCCATTTTGGGCCGTCGTGGGATCTTTTTGGCCCGTCTCGGGGCCCTCTTTGGGGGCTTCTGGGATTGTGTTGGGGCTATCTTGGAGGAGGCCTCTGGGGCCGTCTTGGGCCTTTGCAAGCCCGACATGGCGAGAACGCCACATTCATTCAACACCCAAAGGGCAATCACAGATTTTTTTTTTTTTCGGGCTCTCCCAGGTGTCATGTGGAATCCCTCTTGGGCCTTCTGTTGGGCCTCTTGGGCCGTCTTGAGCCCACCTGGTTCCGTGATGGCTTCAACTTTGGCAGCCTTGGAGGCATAGTGGGGCTATTTTGGGCCCTCTTCCGGCTGTATGCGATGCTTTGGAGGCGCCTGGAGACCATCTTGGAGGCTATCTTCGGTCATCTTAGCCCTTGGGAGGCATCCTGGAGCCAGCCATCTTGGAGACATGTTGAGGGTGAACACCCTTGCCTCCCACCTTTTGGAATTCGAACAGGTGGCTTGAGGGATGCGCCGAGTCCCCATTCAGAACCTTTTTTGGGGATGGGTTCAAACGGCTAAGATTTGGCATGCCGACAGCCCCTCTTGCGGGCAACAGGGGGCGGCGGATCTAGAGGCTTTCGGCCCTTCCGCCACCGTGCCTGGGGTGTGGGCCAGTGTTCTTTTGGATGCCATTGGGGCTCGTCTTGGGCCGTCTTGGGCTATCGCGAGGTGATCTGGGACCGTTGGATTTGAGCCGTATTGGGGCCTCTTCAACCGTCCTGTGGCCCTCGTTTGAGCTTCTGGGTCCTCTTGGGAGTCTGAAGAGAAGTCACACGGCAAGCCCCTGGAGTCACGCGGTGATCTCAGGAAATTCAGGCACTTGGGGTCCTGTGCCGCCTCAGAAGTAATTACGATTCTCGATTCAGAGGATTCGAAGGGACTTGAGGACACCCCGCTCTGTGCTTGCCGTTTTGTGGTGGATATTTCGACGCAGGGCATATCTAGTGTACATGTGTGCGTATTCCTTTATGAAAATACGCATCTACGCATATGCATCAAGACATATGTTCATGCAAGATACGAATGGTCTGGCAAACGTGTACACGTGTTTTTTTTTACACAGGCGGCTACGGCTCATTGCGCGCAGCGTGCTTAAGGTACTGCTAGAGCTATCATGCTGCCGCCCTCAATTATCGCGCACTTCTTGTCCTGCGTCTCAGCCTTATTTTTCATGCTTCTTCCCCTTCCCCTCCCCTTCCTCTCCCGTCTCCTGCTCCTATACATCCGATTCCTCTTCCGCCTTTCGCTCCTCTTTCTCTTTCTCTTCCTCTCCGTTCTCCTCCCACCCCTTCTCATCCGTCGTTCGGAGGCCTAGAGGTTGACACCAACACCAATATCGGCGGTGTGCCTCCACCGATGGAAGATGATCCCGATCTCGGTGATATTCAGGCTTCAAAGGTGGCCGAAATATTACCACCAACACCGAAATCTAGGATCACTTTCCCCCTGTGAAGGAGAACCCCCTGTGCTGGTGTCGGTGCCCATCCCTAATCCTCCAAGTCGTCCATTCGACCCCTCTTTTGTTCTCCGTCTTCTTCTCGCTCTCCTCCGCAACCTGCTATCATTATGCCGCTCCGCGGTGTGGCGCGGGTCCAGCAGGCGTCCCGGACCACGCGCTGGTCTTCGGCCTGAGCTGCATCGAGACGGTCATCGCGCAGTGGCAGTGGATGCCGCAGGCGCCGCGCCGATGGGCCGCCCTCGGGCTCCGACGTGCGGAGAAGAAGACGCGGCATGACCATAAATTCTTGGCGGTCCGCGCGGATTTCTTGGATCTGCGTTGGGGCCTCCCCGGCGGCGCCTCCGCGCGCCAGGGAGGGGGGTTCAGCGCAGATCCAAGAAACCCGCGCGGAGCTCCGAAAGTTTATTCGTCTTCGAGTGCCTCCGCGAGGGCTTCACCATCCGGATGCCCGCTCGAGGACGGTCCTCCCGTTGCCCTTGCACTCCAGGGCCCAGCCACGACCCTCCAGACACCCTGCAGCTAAGCACCCCGACCCTACTGTGTGCACGCCAGGACTTGTGTCTGTTGGCGACTGGGGTGCTCTGCCGGGTGCAAGCTTTGGGGAACCAGAAGGTTGTGGACCGTGAGTGCAAAGCAGGGCGTGTGATCTGGAGACGTTGCGGCGTGCTCGATTTTCGGATTTCATTTTGATCAGGGCGTGGCCAGACCGCTGCTGAGTCAGCACGTGGGCATTCATTTCAGATGTTTGCATGTTGCCTTGGCAGCTCTAGCCGAGGAGTGGCCTGGTGTGCCAGGTCCAGCAGGTACTGTGGAGCGTGCCACGGCCAGCAGTCCCTGTCGCCAAGTGCAGCGGCGGCACTGCCGTGCTCCAGGGTGCCGCTCGGTGAGACGGGCAGGTGACGTGAGGAAGTTCGGGCCGTGTGGCTCCAGTGCCGGGCCCGGGCGATCCACGTCCTCCACAGCCCGCGCTGCAGGGCCACCCATCTGCACAGCCTCTGGCGTGCGACCAGAGCACAGGGCGCACGGGACCTCCTGCCGAGCAGAAGGACTGGCAAGAAGGGCCAGCCGGCGAAAGAAGCACGCGCGTCGGCAAATTTGACGACGTGCGCTCGTCGCTCCAGCAGAAGCCCGCCGACGCGGCGCGCAGCGTGACGTGACGTGACGCTCTCGAAGCCGCGGAGCAGCCAGCTCATGTCGTGAAGGTCCGCCCGCGATCTGTTCGTTTTCTTGTGTGTTCAGTGCTGAAAAAGGCCGCTCCCCATAACCTTGCTGCTGCTGCCGCTCCTCCTCCTCTCAGAGCGTGAATTACCTCCCCCGCTTTCGCTTCCAGGCAAAACCAAGCCATACCACGCGCCTCCTCGTCTAGCGGCCTGACCAGTACAGGCTGCAATTTGGCATCGTTTGGTATCTCTTGGAAGCGAGGGTGGTCAAAAGCGAGGGAGGTTTGTTTTCCCCCTATCCTCTCCCTGCTGCCCTCTCCCCAGGTTGTGATCCTTTCGTACCTGTGCCCCAAGGGCATGGAGGCGACCATGTACGCGCTGCTGGCGGGGACCGGGGCCTTCTCCCATTGCCTCAGTGCTGGGAGTCCAACCGCCCCCCGTCCTCCCCCGGCTTCGAAGGCGCGCCCAGGGGGGCAGGCAGAGGGCGCGCGGCTTCTCGTGGGGAACTCTCCGAGCCTCCTCCGAAGCCGCGAGGGGCTTCTCGGATGGCCAGGGGGCTCCTTGGAAGCCCTGCCGCCTTCTGTCCCCCTTCTCGCTTCCCCCCTCGGTGCACCGCCGATGGCAGGCTCACCCTCCTCCTCCTCCTCATCCTCCGCCTCCTCCTCCTCCGCCTCCGCCTCCTCCTCCGCCTCCGCCTCCTCCTCCTCCTCCTCCTCCTCCTCCTCCTCCTCCTCCTCCTCCTCCTCCTCCTCCTCCTCCTCCTCCCCCCCTTTCCCCAGCCTCTGCCGCGGCCTCTGCCCCTGCGGGCACCAGTCCAGCGTCGCGCTTTCCTGCTGCCCCGCCAGGGCGCCTGCAGCGGGCGCCCCCGCTGGAAGCAGAGCACCCTTGAGAGCCTACAGGTTGGCGTCGCAGAGATGGCGTGCACTGTGGCGCCGGCCGGCCCGCTCATCTCAGGAGGGGGGAAAACACACAGACACCAGGAATCCTCGATTCCCAGGAAGATCTGGGAATACACGGGAAGTTGGGGGGGGAAGACAAAGACCCAGGAAATTATGGGAAGACACGGGGAATCCTGCCATTTGTGTGTCTTTATTTGTGTGTCCCAGGGCCCCTTCATCATTGCACGCTGCCCCCCACCTTGGGAGTAGCATGCGCCGAAGAGGCTGGGTCGGGGGATAGCGTGCCTGCACCGGCGCGGCCCTCGCGGGGGGATATGGCGTGCGCCGCGGGGAGGACCTCGCGGGGGGGTCGCCTCACGGGGGTTGCGTGCTTTTCCGGAGATCGGTGCTGCTCGCTGTCTTCGGGGGACGAAATCTATACATATCCACTGCTCCCTGGCCAGGCCCATCCTGAACCCAGGAGCTGTGTATACGCCCTCCTGGCCAAACCAGGAGGGCCTGGCGTATACACAGCTCCTGTGTTCAGGATGGGCCTGGCCAGGGAGCAGTGGATATGTATAGATTGTGTCGCCCTATGTCTCTGCAACGCCAGCCGCAGCCGCTGATCTCTGGGGGGGATCGCAGGGTGCTGGCGTGCGAGGAACTCCCCGGACCGGGTTGGCGAGCCTGCTCTCATCGTTTCCCAGCAGGCGTTGCGCCATGCCGCCACCCCCGCCAGCAGAGGAAACGTGCGGCCTCCGACCTCGTGCGTGCCGTCTGCCGCCTCCCGCCGTGCCGCCCGTGCCTGGACCCGGTCGGCGAGCTCCTTGGCAAGCGTTACTACTAAGTCGGGCCTGTCCCTCTGCAGGGGGAATATTCAAAGTTAGCAGAATTTTAGTCAGGGGACTACTTTTTGATTTTTTTTGGGCCATTTGGGGGTATTTTTGACGATATTTTATTTTTCGTCCAAAATCCCCCTCTAGGAGGACAGGCCCAACTAAACGTTACTATTCAAGCGCTTCGCGAGCTCTGCCGGCGGATCGCGCGGCACTGCGTCGGGGTGCCCGCGGCGAGCTCCTCCGCCGTGCCGGCACGGCAGGCAGCGTGATGACCGTGCGAGGGCGCGTGCTCGGGGGCTCGGCGCTGCTGGGGAGCTCTCTGCGTGCCGCGAGCACGGCGCTCTGCGTGTTGCCCCGTGGGTCGGAGGTGGATAGACCTCCTACCCTGACACGTCGATTAAGGAATTGGCCGTTTTCGGTTCGCGAGGGGGCGTCGCGGCCGTCATTTTTGCGGAGCCAGGTCCGTCGGTTTCGGTCCCAGACCGTTTTCACTAAGGGGAGGTTTACTAAAGGGAGGTTTGTCCACCGCCGACTGGGGCAGAAGACTGCGGGGAAGGCGCTGCTGCACTCCCGCCCATGCCGCTCGTGCTGAGTTGTTGGTGTCACTGCCCTGTCGGGAGCTGCATTCAGAACGATCTTCACACCGTGCTCAAAGCCGTGACTCAGTCTCTTCTACAGTGGAAGGCCATGCCAAGAAACACCCTGCTTGCCTCCAGAGTGCCCTGGGTTTATTGGGTTTCGACGGTTCTGCCATGGAAAACGTGAGGTTCCCACGGCAAATATCAGTGGGCGTCCTGGGGTCTCAGGGTTGGGTTTCTTGTGGAAGGTTTCATGTGGTCGAGCTCCCAGATGGGGTCCGAGTAGATGGGGTCGAAGGATCGGGCCACATCGCTGATGTATCGGCGATGCAGCTCGATGCGCGGCCCGAGTTTCTCCATACCGGCGTCGTCGATGCGTCGCCGACGCATCACCGATGTTTTGGCAATGTGGGGCGATCCTCCGACCCCGTCTACTCGGACCCTATCCGGGAGGCCTCTACCCATCGGTCGTTGAAAGTAGGTTCTTGTGGATTCCCAGATTCCAATCTGCTTCAAGCGCCTTCCTACCTCAGTGGTCTGGCGGCTTCACCTTGTCCGCCCTCTCCCAATCTGCTTTCAACGCCTTCCTGGCTCATGTCTCTACCTGCTTCTTCCGACCGATGGCTCGTGCTCGAAGCCGCGACAGGTCTCCTCTGCCCTGAGCACGTGTCAGCCCCCTTTGCGGAGCTCGAGCGGGGCCTCTCGAGGCTTCCCGGGCTCCGCGGGGCGGCCTCTCGCGAGCGCCACCTCTCGGGAGGCCTCCCCGGCGTCCGCCTTTTCTGGGGCCGCCCAGGGGGCGGCGAGGTGCCTTCTCCCCCCCCTCGCCTGGACCCTCTCGATGCTCCCCCCCCCAGTCCCTGGGCCCTGACCCCCTCGCGTTGTGACAAGATCACGGCGGGAGTGTTTTTTTTGTTGCTTGCTATTTTCGGCCTTCCGGGGCCCTTACCCGGCCCTGGGACCGTGACACAACGACTCAGGACGAAGAACCGGTCCCCCGGGAAGGGGCGGTTCATCGCGGCGTGACACGTTGAGCTCAGCACAGCACTGCACAGCACGGCGCAGCACAGAGCCCGTGGCACGGTACGTCACGATCGTTACCTTGCGTATCTGAATTGCCCGTCGCCCAAGTTCGGCGTCTTGGAAACGATGCCGCAATGCTTCACGTTTCTACATCCCTTTCTGGGTTCGTGAGTCGATCATGTATTTGACAGGGAGGGGGCGGGGGGAGTTGCATGAGTGTTTTAATCTCTCTAGGTCGCGTGGGGGAGGGGGCGTGGGAGGGGGCGCTTAGAGCCCGTTTCTTTATTGCTTGGGGCATGACGGGCGTCATGGCCCCCGCTCCCCCCCCCCCCTATGAAGTAACGCTCCCCCCCCCCCAGTGCGCTCTGGGCACTGCCGCCGTGCGCATTGGGATCCGCGTAGGTGTTTGCGTAGGAATCCGCATAGGTGTCTGGTCCGCAGGAGTCGTCGTCGTCGTCGTCGTCGTCGTCGTCGTCGTCGTCGTCGTCGTCGTCGTCGTCGTCGTCGTCCGTCGTCGTCGCTCGTGGTTCGTCGCTCGTCGCTCATCGTCGTCGTGCGCGCGGACGCGGCTGGAGCCTGTTTTTTAGTCCAGGCCGATGACGGCAACCATCTGGGGGGGGAGGGGGTCGATGACGTAACGTTTCGCGCCGGCGGCGTCTGGGAATGCTTAGGAATGACGGAGGACGGGTAGCACGAACATGTAGGTGGCGATATGCACCACAACGCCTGTGCACATCACAGTGCCCGCGTGCACCGCAGCGCCTGTGTACACCACACCGCCGATGTATACCACAGCAGCCGCGTGAAACACAGCGTCAGTTTGTGCCACCGTGCCTGCGGGCACAGCAGCTCCTGCGTACACCACAGCGCCTCCGTACCCCACATCAGCCGCGCGCAACACAACACCAGTGTACACCACAATGCCTACGTGCATTGCAGTGCCTGTGTACGCCACGGCGCCTGTGTGCACCACATCAACCGTGTGCAACACAGCACCATTGTTGTGTATTGAATTTCAAAAGGGATCCTTGTGACAAAATGGAACGCGTGTGGGTTCCAGAGAAAACAATGAAAAAACAAATCCTCATGGACAAAGGAGCGCCGCTGGAATCTACGAGTCCCCCCGAGTCCGCCCGCATCACCCTGACTCCCATTTGCGTCCAGGAGGCTCCAGCTAAGCTGGCCGTCCGAAAACCAAGTGGACCGATTCAATCGACCATTCTGCGGTGCACGCGGAGATGCGCACGTGCGTTGTAACGCCAAGCCGCACGACAGGGGGTAAGAAGGAGGAAAAGAAGGAGGAGGAGGAGGTGGAGGAGGAGGGAGGAAGGAAAAATGTCGTATTCGATTATCAGAACTTTCCTGGCGTGGCGTTTAGTTGTCCGCAGCAGATCCTGACGTACATGTTCCTTCTACCTGTCCTGTGCACGCACGCGCTGTGGTGTACACCAGCGCTGCGTTGCACGCGGATGCTGTGGTGTAGACAGGCGCTGTGGCGTGCACAGGCGCTGCGGTGCACGCAAGCACTGTGGTGTACACAGGCGTTGTGTTGCACATGGTTGCTGCGGTGTATGTACACCGGCGCTGTAGTGCTCCCAAGTATTGTGGTATACGCGGGCGGTGCATTGCACACGGCTGTTGCGGTGTACGCAGGCGCTGTGGTGCACACGCGCGGTGTGGTGCACGCGGGCGTTGTGGTGTACACAGGCGCAATGGGCAGATGGCCACTTACATGCTGCTCGCGTCGTCGTCGTCGCTCGCTCGTCGCTCGTCGCGTCGTGCGCGCGGGCGCGGTTGTGGTGCCGGAGCCACTCGGCGGGGGGGGGGGGCGTCACGTCATACCCCCCCCCGCCCCCCCCCGTCATACCCCCCCCCGCCCCTTCCCCCCCCCCCCCATGACGCCCGTCATCGCCGAACAAAAGAAACGCGCTCTTACTAACAGGAAACAGTTTTCAACACACCTCCTGCCTACAAAGCACAAGCCGTCTCGCTCACTCCCACCCGTGTTCCCAAAGTCGCATCCGCGCATCTCTGTTGTAAACCATGTCAAATGGTCGCGCGGCGCCCGCGCATGCTCCAGGTTCGGGGGCAAAGTGTATTTTGCTTGGTTTTTGGGCAGGGGCGATTGGTTTGCGCGTAGCAAAGAATGTGAGGGCCCCCCAGCCGTCCCTGTCAAAAACCACTGCCAAGTGGTCGCGGGGCGCCCGCGCATGCTCCAGATCTGGAGGCAGCGCGTATATTGTGTGGCTTTTCCCGGAAAGGGCACGAGCCCAGGGGCCTCGCTAAGTGTGTACATGTCTGCCTGGGTGCTATGATGGGGGGAGGGGGGGGACCAGCGGAGTAGGCCCAGGAAGGTTCCTCCCCCCTCTTCGAGGCCCAGTTCGGGATCATCCTGTCTTTATTGGCCGCCCCCGTTATCGGGGGCGACCTTCACCACGACCTCCGTGATCCTGTGGATCCAGACGTTGGAGGTCGTGGTTTCTGCCTTGCCGAGCCCCTTAGGAGGCTCCGCCCGACGCCTCAGCGTGCGCGCTTGGCGGCCTGGCTAAGAAAAGACCAGCGGAGTCATATGCGACAAACCACGCGGCACAGTCGCATTCTGCGCGGAGCAGGCGCGTTTCGGAGGAGGAGGAGGAGGAGGAGGAGGAGGAGGAGGAGGAGGAGGAGGAGGAGGAGGAGGAGGAGGAGGAGGAGGGAGGAGGAGGAGAGGAGGAGGGGAGAGGGGAGGAGGAGGGAGGGAGGAGGAGGGAGGAGGGAGGAGCGGAAAGTCGACGGACGGGGCGTCGCCCCCCCCCCCCCCGGGGGGCGGCGCGCGCTCCGAGAGAACTCTTCTGGCGGGCGCGCTCCGTGGCGGGCGCGGTCGGGGCCACCTGCCCCGCTCGGGAGACGGAGCTGTCCACAGGACGTGTGCACCCGGATGCCCCCGGGCCGGACGCGCGCCTCTCCTCTCCAAGGGGGGAGGAGGAGGAGCAGGAGGGGCAGGAGGAGGAGGAGGAGGAGGAGGAGGAGGAGGAGGAGGAGGAGGAGGAGGAGGAGGAGGAGGAGGAGGAGGAGGAGGAGGAGGGGAGGAGGAGGAGGAGGAGGAGGAGGAGGAGGAGGAGGAGGTGGGGTCACGGCATGCCGGCATGCCACTCTCTGCGTCCCACGGCCTCGCCTCACACAGCGGCGGCGGCGACGACGACGACGGGGAAGCCGAGCACGCTGCAGGGGGGGGCGCCCGGGGTGCGCTGGGCGGCGGCCGAGGGGAGGCTGGCTGCCACAACATGGGCGGGCTCATCGCGGGCAGCTGTGGCGCCTCCGCGCGGCGCGCGCTCGCCGCCCCGCGCGCACACGGGCCTCGGCAGGGGCCGCCTGCGGTCCGCTTCGATGCGCTCCGACTCGCGGGCTGGGGCCGCGATGCCGACTGGATTCGGTTGGGGCCGAGTCGCGGGCCTCGGTTGGGACCGGCCCGAGGCAGGCGCGGCCGTCCGACTTCTCGGCTCGAGCCCGGGGCGATGCGCCGGCGATCCGGCTCGTTCCCCGTCCGATCCGGCTTCGCGATTCGGCCCAGCTCAGGCCTGCCTCGGGGCCAGCATCGTCTGGCGTCTGGCCGATCCCCGTCTCCACTGGGCCATGGTATCTCAGCGCCACCAGCCCGCAGTGGGCCCCGCATACGGCAGAGCCGTTTCTTCACCGCTCTCGGGAGAGTGTCTCTTGAAAGCGGGCACGGTAAAAAAAACGGCGGCGAAACCGGCAAGAAAACAGCAAAACGGAACCGGTAAAAAAACGACCTTGTCGTTTCCAGGGGCCATTGAGCACCAGCCCACCCCCCCAATGTGGGGATAGGTCCCGCCAAGCCCCAAGGCAGCAGCACATGTCCTCATCTACAGTGGGGGTAGGCCGGCTGAGGAGCCGAGGCCATGCCAGTGGGAATGGGGATCGGTCGGACATTGCTCATGGGAGCAGCCTGCGGACCAAGGATTCGTCTGGGTGCTGCCCGAGTCGAAGAAGAAACAACAACTGCACAAACATCCAGTTTTGGCGGTCCGCGCGGTTTTCTTGAATCTGCGTTGGGGCCCCCTCGGCGGCGCCTCCACCCCTGGCGCGCTCCGCGCGCCAGGGAGGGGGGCCCAGCTCAGATCCAAGAGATCCGCGCGGACCCTCGGAAGTTTATGGTTATGTTTTTTTGTTTCTGTTCTACAGAGGCGGCCCAGGACCAGGCCTCCCAGATGGTGTCGGAGCAGATGGGGCCGGAGGATCGCGCTGCATCGCCGCCGCATCGCCGATGCGGCTCGACGTGGAGCCCGAGTTCCTCCACGCCGACGTCGCTGATGCATCGCCGACGTCGCCGATGCCTTACCCATGCATCGGCGATGCATCGGAGGAGGAGGGGAGGAGGAGGAGGACGAGGACGAGGAGGATGAGGAGGAGGAGGAGGAGGAGGAGGAGTCGGAGGAGGAGAAGGCGCCATCCTCCGACTTCATCTGCTCGGACCCCATTCGGGAGGCCTCCAAAGGTGGCGCCCCAGCTTTGCCAGAGGGGCCCCGATGGCGAGTCCCAGAGACAGGTAGCCTAAGTAGGGCGTGTCCCTCAGGAGGAATATTCAAACATAGTTAAAACAATTGTCAGGGGACGATTTATCTACCATTTTTGATTATTTTCTGTGTGTTTTTGGACCTTTTGATTTTTCGTCCAAAGGCCGGCTGTAGGATAGCCCCAGGGGCTCCCAAGTGGTGCGAGAAGCTGGGATCACCGTGTCGGGTCAAGGTCACTTCCGGCAACGTACAACGACCCGTGCTTGCTGCCAGATTAGTAAATCTTGTCGATGGTGCCCAAGATGCATCCTGGGACCGATTTTGAACGGGTTTTGGCCAGAAGAGGCCCGACGCGAGCTTCTTGCTTCAGGCACTTCGCTCGGACTCTCCATCGCCACAGGCCGATCCGACCGCGTGGTCGTTCCGGGGCTTTCTCTCTCCCCCTTGTCGCCCTGGCCCCCCCTCTCTGCTGCCCCTTGCTCTGGCTCACTCGGCGCTGCTTTCCAGCTCCTTCCCTTCCTTCTTCTTCCAACCTGGCAAACCGTCTCTGGTGCCTCAACACGTTTGGCGAGACTCCTGCAGCCTTACAGTGGTGCTGCCGTTGAGTTCCATACGCTTTCGAGTTTTGTGTTTTGAGATCGAATTTTAATGTGCGCGTTTGCCGTCAATGTGCGTAGTTGTGTTTTTCTGCATCGTCATCGTCACATGTGTTCGTGTCTACGCACCCATGGGACTTCGTGCTTATCGTTGCGCTGATCTGATATAGGCACTTTCTTTTTCGAAAGGCTAATCAGATGCGGTGCTCCCTGGCCCCATCGGGCCTCTGGATGGTCGTCCCTCTCTCCCCCAGGATTTGGACCTCGTCGGGCGATGCACTCATTTTGACAAAGTGGGGCGTTGCTGTCTGATTGCCTTGCTGTACGGCTCGAGGAAGCCAGAAGAAGGGACACGGGCGGGGTACCATCTGGAGGAGTTCGGGGTCCGGGAGGCACGGTACCACCTCGACTGGGCGGGGTACTGGGCGGGGTACCACCTCGACTGGGCGGGGTTCGGGAGGCACGGTACCATTTGGACGGGCCGTCCCTTGACACGCTTTTTCCCCTGGGGCCCTTTTCCACCTCCCGCTCGGTGCTCTGCCCGTTTCTTTGCCCAGTCACGGCTCCATCCCCGTCGCCGAGCAGTGGAGGAATGCGGATGCTTCCTTACGAGGGCAGCGTGATCCCAGAGGGCCCCTCGCAGTCGAGACCCGCTCGAGAGTGCCGGGCCCTCTTGGTTGCCCCGTTGTAGCCGACAGTGGCGCGCAGGAGGCTGGGCAGTGTAGCGCCGCCTCGCGCGCGGGTCCCCCACCCTGATGGGCCAGTGTTGCAGCACCACTACCATCCAGAGGTAGGAGGGGGAAGAAGGGCGGATGAGGAGGTCCTCCTCCTCCATTTCCTACCTATGGTAGTGGTGGTGGAAGATGGGCCCATCACACCGGCTGCCGCCCCAGGACTGCAGGTGCGGCCAGGCCCACTCACGCCCCCTTCCCTCTTCCGACTCCCGTGATTGGCTTGGCTGGTGCCGCGCCTGACCATGGATGTGCACGCCGGTCGTTGACACGAGGTGTCTTCGGATGCCCAAGTCCCAATCTATTTTAGGCGCCTTCCTACTTCAAGAGTCGAGCGGTTTTCCCTCTTCCCTCCACTTCAGGGGGGCCGGGCGGGAGCCCAATCTACTTCAGTGCCGTCCTACTTCTCGCTTCTATCCACTCCTTGCGACCGACGGGTAATCCCGTCGTCTGCGGCGACCCTTCGTGGAGACCTGGCGGGGCGTGTGCCAGAGCTCGCCGTTCTGGAGCCTGGTTCGATCTGGGCGCACTCATGCAGCGGCACCGCGATGCGGTATTCACCGACGAGGGCTTGGGAAATCCGCCGAAAGTTGCGGCTTTAGGAAGGGCCTCCTTCGGGCATCGCAGCGTTGCCCGCGTCGGGAAGGGTCTAGGCCGCGGGGTCGCTGGTCCAAGTTCTCGTCTGTGGCGAACCCGTCAGGAGGGGGTCGAGTGATCATTGCATACGGTTTCAGGGAGTCTTGCTTGCCACCGAGGTGCCCGCCCAGTGATGCAGCGCCGTTGGAAACGCCGGGACTGTCGTCGCTTCCGCCCGCGCTGGGGCCCTGCATCTCTCGGGGGCGCCGGGCCCTTCAACAAGGCTTAGGTCGGGCATGTCCTACAGGCGGACTTTGGGCGAAAAATCAGAAATGGTCCAAACATGTACAACAATTGTCAAGCATGATAGAAAAATCGTCCCCAGACATTTTTTTAAAACTATTCGTGAGTATTCCTCCTGAAGAGGGACACGCCCGATTTCAAACACGGCGCAGCAGCCTTCCCGTGTTCGCCGGGCCTGGCTGGCGGACGATGGCCGCCGCGGCAACCGGGGCGGCGCGGGGGGGGGGGGCTGCCTGTCGTCCTGAAGAACTGGCGTCCCTGGAGGTTGTTGCCAGGCCTCCTAGGTGGGGTCGGAGTAGATGGGGTCGGAGGACCGCGCCGCATCGCCGATGCATCGCCGATAGAGCTAGATGTGGGGCCCGATTTACTTCACGTCGACGTCGCCGATGTATCGTCGCCGTCGACGATGCATCGACCATGCATTGGCGATGCGGCGCGATCCTCCGACCACATCTGCTCGGTTCCCATCTTGGAGGCCTCTACTGTTCACCGTTTTCAAGCTCCTGGTTGCCCTCCCTGAGCCCCAGGACCGCCAGAGCCTATCTTGGGGAAAGCCACGGGGTCCCGGACCCGTTTCCACCAGGACCCAGCCGTCCCCGTCGTGCCAGATTTGCGCCTGTTGGTTGCGGGTCGCCCGCAGCGCCGACACGATTGTCGAGGTCCGTCTGTCAGAAGTGCCATTTGGCGTGTGCGCCCGCTGCTGAACGACTGCGATCGGGAGTCGATTTTGCGCCTCCTGGTCTGCTGGGGCGGTTGCTTCAAAGTGGAATGGCGGTACCATCTTGAGGCGCGCGGCCTCCTGGCGGGCACAATTGCGGAGAACGGGGGGAGGGAGTCGGAGTCGGAGGGTCGGAGTTGGTGCCGCAGCCCGAGCACTGGTTGAGTTCAGGAGGAGGAGGAGGAGGAGGAGGAGGAGGAGGAGGAGGAGGAGGAGGAGGAGGAGGAGGAGGAGGAGGAGGAGGAGGAGGAGAGGAGGAGGAGGAGGAGGAGGAGGAGGAGGAGGAGGAGGAGGAGGAGGAGGAGGAGGAGGAGGAGGAGGAGGAGGAGGAGGAGGAGGAGGAGGAGGAGGAGGAGGAGGAGGAGGAGGAGGAGGAGGAGGAGGAGGAGGAGGAGGAGGAGGAGGAGGAGGAGGAGGAGGAGGAGGAGGAGGAGGAGGAGGAGGAGGAGGAAGGAGGAGGAGGAGGAGGAGGAGGGGAGGAGGAGGAGGAGGAGGAGGAGGAGGAGGAGGAGGAGGAGGAGGAGGAGGAGGAGGAGGAGGAGGAGGAGGAGGAGGAGGAGGGAGGAGCAGGAGGAGGAGGAGGAGGAGGAGGAGGAGGAGGAGGAGGGAGGAGGAGGAGGGAGGAGGAGGAGCAGGAGGAGGAGGAGCAGCAGGAGGAGGAGCAGGAGGAGGAGGAGGAGGAGAAGGAGGAGGAGAAGGAGAAGGAGAAGGAGGAGGATCAGGAGGAATAGCACGAGGAAGAGGGGATGAGGAGGAGGAGGATGAGGATGAGGAGGAGGAGGAGGAGCAGGAAGAGGGGGAGGAGCAGGAGGGGGGGGAGGAGGAGGAGGGGCAGCCGCCGGCGGAGGTGCTCTGCTTCTTTCTTATCTCGGCGTCAAGCCGAAGGGCGAGGTTGTGCGGCCGGCGGCGGCCCGCTGGCCTCCGCTGCCAAGCGATGGGGGGCCGGGCGGGTATTCCAACCAGGGAGGCCTTCTCTCGGGAGCCGGGTTTTGACGCCAAGCGGGAGGGCACGTGGCCTGGGGAGGCGAGGGGACGACGGTGGGGATGCGGGCGCGTGTCAAGTTCCCAGGAGGAGAGCCTTTAGCCGTCCCGCTCATTCCCGCCCGCCCTCAAAACACAACGAGCCTAGCGCGGCACGCGTTAGGCGAGACATTGTGCTTGGCGTGCATGCTTGACATTCGATGGCTGTGGCGGCGTTTCGCCTGTGGGCGACCGCGAGGGCCTCGTGGGCGCCCCGTGCGCTGGCCCAGTGTGCCGAGTTGTCGCTGGATGGGCGGCCGTGGGCGCCTCGTTGGCGCCCCAGTTCCGCCCAGTGGGCCGCCGTGGGCGCCTCGTGGGCGCCCCGTGCGCTGGCTGGGTGTGTCGAGGTGTCGCCTGGTGGGTGGCCGTAGGCGCGCCGTGGGCGCTTCGCGCTGCTTGCATGACACTGCTTTCACGACATGGCTTACACCACTGATCTTACACCTGAAAGCTCACACCGCGCAGCTTGCACGACATGCTCCGGTTTCACCCCATAGCTTGCGCCACATAGCTCGCACAGCACATCGTTTGCGCCACACTGCTCACATCACAGTGCTTGCACTACATAGCTTGCACCACACATAGATGCCACCGCATCTCTTATAGTGCGCATAGCTGGCACCACATAGCGTGCATCACATATCTTCTACACAGAGTGCACGAGCTCACTGTTTGGGGTTTGCGCTGGGAAGCACACGTACACATGCATCTATAGTATGTCTATGTACATGAGTTTAAAGTTGCCTTCGGCCCATCCCGCCATATTGCCTGGAATGTGGGTCATAGGCCTCTCGGATGTTCGTTGACGTCGCGGGAGGCCTCTCGGGGGCCTCTTTCGGCCAGTTTTGAGACGCTTCGTGGTTCCATAGGGAGCTCCACCGAAGGTCCCAGTGGGTGTGCCCGCATGCGTCCCGCACACCCATTTCGGCACACCCCTCACACGTTTCGTGGCCCCATAGGGAGCTCCACCAGAGGTCCCAGTGGGTGTGCCCGCATGCGTCCCGCACACTCATTTCGGCACACCCCTCACACGTTTCGTGGCCCCATAGGGAGCTCCACCGAAGGTCCCAGTGGGTGTGCCCGCATGCGTCCCGCACACCCATTTCGGCACATCCCTCACACGTTTCGTGGCCCCATAGGGAGCTCCACCGAAGGTCCCAGTGGGTGTGCCCGCATGCGTCCCGCACACCCATTTCGGCACACCCCTCACACGTTTCGTGGCCCCATAGGGAGCTCCACCGAAGGTCCCAGTGGGTGTGCCCGCATGCGTCCCGCACACCCATTTCGGCACACCCCTCACACGTTTCGTGGCCCCACAGGGAGCTCCACCGAAGGTCCCAGTGGGTGTGCCCGCATGCGTCCCGCACACCCATTTCAGCACACCCCTCGTACGTTTCGTGGCCCCATAGGGAGCGCCACCGAAGAAGATATTCACAATTGCGGTATTCACAATTGCATATGGTTGGGTCCTTCGCCAGGATAATTTGTTTTCGTTGCCAGTTGCCAACCATCCTGTGGTGCTGGGTTCTCGTTTTGAAGAGACAGCGCGGCCCTTTCTCCTCTCCCCTCCTCCCTCCTCTCATCCTTGCCTCTGCCCTCCGCATCAGTCAACCATTTCGGCGCACCGTTCGCACGTTTCGTGGCCTCATAATGGGGGCTCCACCGAATGCCCCAGTGGATGCGTTCGCATGTGCCCACCGCACCCATTGTGGCACACCACTCACACGCTTCACGGCCCCATGGGGAGCTCCACCGACGGCCCCAGTGGCCGCAAGCATTTTGCACACCTCTGACACGTTTCGTGACGTTTCGTGTCCCCATTGGGAGCTCCACCGAAGGCCCAAATGCCAGAGCTTGCATGCGCCCACCCCGCCCATTTTGGCACACTCACACGCTTCGTGGCCCGATAAGGAGTTCAACCGAAGGACCCAGTGGCTGCGCTCGCTTGGCGCCACCGAACCCATGTCGGCACACCCCTCACACGCTTCGTGGCCCCAAAGGGAGCTCCACCGAAGGCCCCAGCGGCTGCGCTCGCATGGCGCCACCGCACCCATTCTGGCACACCCTTCATACGCTTCGTGGCCCCACACGGAGCTTCACTGGGGGCCCCAGTGGCTGCGCTCCAACAGCGGGCGAATCTCGGTACCCCTCACACGCTTCGCGGCCTCATATGAACCTTCACCGAGGACTCCGGTGGCTGCGCTCGCATGGCACCACCCCACTTATGTCGGCATGCAACTCACACCCTTCGTGGCCCCATACGGAGCTCCACCGAATGCCCCAGTGGCTGCGCTCGCATGGCGCCACCGCGCCCATGTCGGCACACCTCTCACACGTTCCGGCGCCCCATAGGGCGCTCCACCGAATGCCCCAGTGGCTACGCTCGCATGGCACCACCGAGCCGATTTCGGGACACCTCTCACACGTTTCGTGGCGCCATGGGGAGCTTCATCGAAGGCCCCAGTGGCTGCGTTCGCATGCGCCCACCGCACTTATTTCGGCACCCCCCTCGCGCATTTCGGGGCCCCATGGGGAGCTCCACCGACGGCCCCAGTGGCTTCGCTCGCATGGCGCCCTCCGCACCCATTTTGCAATGCCCCTCGCACGTTTCGTGGCCCCACAGGGGGGCTCCACCGACGGCCCCAGTGGCTGCGTTTGCATGCGTCCCCTGCACCCATTTTGGCACATTTCTCGCACGATTCGTGGCCCCACAAGGGGGCTCCACCGACGGCCCAAGTGGCTGCGTTCGCATGCGTCCCCCGCACCCACTTTTGGCACATTCCTCGCACGATTCGTGGCCCCACAGGCAGCTCCACTGAAGGCCCAAGTGGCTGCGTTCGCATGCGTCCCCCGCGCCCATTTTGGCACATTCCTCGCGCGATCCGTGGCCCCAAAGGGAGCTCCACCGAAGGCCCAAGTGGCTGCGTTCGCACGCTCCGCCCGCACCCTTCCGCCCCCCGCGCCCCCCTCCGCAACCAAGGAACGGGAACTTGGCATGCCGAACAGGGGGAGGAGGAGGAGGAGGAGGAGGAGGAGGAGGAGGAGGAGGAGGAGGAGGAGGAGGAGGAGGTGGAGGAGGAGGGAGGAGGGAAAAACGTCGCATTCGATTATCAGAACTTTCCTGGCGTGGCGTTTAGTTGCCCGTATCACATCCTGACGTACATGCTCCTTCTGCATGTCCTATGCACGCAGGCACTGTGGTGTACACCAGCGCTGCGTTGCACGCGGATGCTGTGGTGTAGACAGGCGCTGTGGCGTGCACAGGCGCTGCGGTGCACGCAAGCACTGTGGTGTACACAGGCGTTGTGTTGCACATGGCTGCTGCGGTGCATGTACACCGGCGCTGTAGTGCTCCCAAGTATTGTGGTATACACGGGCGGTGCGTTGCACACGGCTGTTGCGGTGTACGCAGGCGCTGTGGTGCACGCGCGCGGTGTGGTGCACGCTACGCGAGCGTTGTGGTGTACACAGGCGCAATGGGCAGATCGCCACTTACATGCTGCTCGCGTCGTCGTCGTCGTCGTCGTCGTCGCTCGTCGCTCGTCGCTCGTCGCTCGTCGCGTCGTGCGCGAGGGCGCGGCTGTGGTGCCGGAGCCACACGGCGGGGGGGGGGGCGTCACTCATACACCCCCCGCCCTCCCCCCCCCCCCCATGACGCCCGTCATCGCCGAATATAAAGAAACGCCTTCCTGTAGCCCCACCGTGCTCCGCCAACTCCGCAACCATTTTTGGCAAATCCCCAGTACCACTCTCCTGGGTATCCAAGAGAGCCCCGGGAGAGCCTGAAGACGGCCCAGGACGTCCCTGAGACAGCCCGAGGGTGCTCCAAGGCTGTCCAAGCCGGCCTCTGGACGGCTTTGGGAACCCCCAAGAGCATTTAAGATCGCCCGAAGAGGCTTCCAAGAATCCCCCACGAGCTCCAGGGAAACCCTTCGAGATGCCAAAATCATTGAAAAACCAATGCGAAATCAATGGTTTTCTGTTTTCCTGGACTTCCACCTCCAACACGCTTCCGAGGCTTGCGCAAGCCCCCCAAGAGTGCTCCAAGAGGCCCCCAGGAGGCGTCCCGAGCCGCGCGAAGTGGCCCCAAGAGTTCACAAGAGGCTACCCATGACGCCAGAAGAGGCCCTAAAGACGCTTCGAGCAGGCCCCAACGAGCTCCCGCGAGCCGCCCCTGAGACATCCAGCGCCGAAGAGGGCCCCGAGAGGCCCTCAAGAGCTTCCAAGACGCCCCCAGGAAAGCTCCAAGAAGGCCCCAAGAGCCGCTCGGAACGCATCTTGGGGGTATCTTGGAGCTCTTTTGGGGTGCATGCGCAAGCCTTGGAAGCGGCCCCGAGGCGCGCACAAGAAGTCCCAAGAGACCACCAGGAGACCCCCACCAAAAACCGAAGAGACCCCACCCCCAGAAATCCCCAGGAGGCCTCCAAGAACCCGACTCCCGAAGGCGTCCACAGAGACCCCCGGCATGGTTTCTCCAGGCTGTCAGGAGTTGACAGGCGTGCCCCCATGGGCTGCCCTGGGTCCTCCGCGTGGCTGCCTTGCGTGCCTTCCTGGGCGCCCTCCAGAAAGCAGCAGGGGGGAATCGCCTTGGACGCATACCGATTGCGCGAAGTCGTGCTGGACGTCGCCTTCATTAGATAAGCGTGAGCCCCGCCATCTGTCTGGCACCGTATGTCGTGCAACATCCTAACGCTCCCCAGCAAGGCACAGTACGACCTAAGGGATCTCCAAGGCCGCGCCCGATGCGGCTTCGACTGAACTTGGCAGCCCTTGGATTGTTGAAGTTGCCCCACATCATTGCCCCCAGGGTTTCCAAGGGACCTCCCAAACACCTCCGAGATAGTCCGAGGGGCCCTCCAGACGCCCAGACGATCTTCAAGACCGCGAAAGACGCACCACAGGCCACGAGTCTCCCAAAGCCTCCCAAAGGTTACCTTCGGGAAGCTGCTGCGTGTATCTGCTCTGAGCAGCAGAATCTCGTAGGGCCTGCTTATTCAACGACTATTGAAGCGTCCATCAGGGAGTATGCTCCCAGATGGTGATCCTTGCGGGATGATGTCCATCTTCATCCAGTCCGCTAAGTTGTTGTGGATTTCGCTAGAACCGAAACGCGCGTGATTCTAGTACACATTTGCATACACCTGTGTGAGCAAGGTTAGGCTAGATGGAGCAAATTATGTGTTGCGAGCTATGTGTGCTGCAAGCAAGGTGGTGAGAGCAGTGTGGTGCAAGCTATGTGAAGCAAGCTATGCTCTGCAGGCTGCGCGTGGGAAGCTTCATGATGCATTCTGTCCATGGGGCTCGGCCTTCGGTGCGAGCCATGCTCTGCAAGCTATGTAGTGCAATCTCTGTGATGTAAACGACGGGATGCAATATGTATATATAGATATATATACATAGACATAGTACGAGTAAGAATAATAATAGAAATAACAACTAGTGATTCATACACATATATATATATATACATATATGTGGTGCGAGCTGTGTGGTGCGAGCTGTGTGGTGCACCCTGCGCACGGCGCGCCCACGAAGCGGCCACCAGGCGTGTGCCGGGGCGGCGACGGGGCGGCCACGCGCGGCCACCGAGTGGGGGCACCGGCCGGCCAGCGGCAGGGGGCGCACACGCGGCGCCTGCGGGCATCGAAGAAGAGCCACCTCTTTTCTGTTTTCGTCGGCGGCGAGGCGGCGAGCTCCGACGCCAGCGAGAAGCTGGGCAGGGGCACGAGCCAGCGAAATTGGCCAGCGAGCAAACAGCAGGAGGGGAAGAGACACACAGGCACAACGAATCGTCCACTCCCAGGGAAATATGGGAACGTATGGGAAGTGGGGGGGAAGACAAGAACTCAGAAAATCTAGGAAGATATGGAGAATCATCTTATTTGTGTGTATCTATTTGTGTGTCCTGGGGCCCCTTCAAAAGAGAGGGAGGGGGGGACGGTCGAGCGGAAGAAGGGACGCTCGGGCGCCGAAGGCTTCGACGAGGAGCAGCCCGGGGGGAGGGGCAGCAGCATCCGGGCTCGCAGGGCCAGATCGCGGTGGGCAGCCGTGGCGGAGAAGAAAAAACGCCCTAGACTACTGGACACAAATTTGGGCGCTCCGCGCGGATTTCTTGGATCCGCGCTGGGGCCCCCCCGGCGACACCTCCAGCGCCGCCCCTGGCGCGCGCCGCGCGCCAGGGCTCCGCGCGCCAGGGAGGGGGTCCCGGCGTAGATTCCGGAAATCCGCGCGGACCTCCCAACGCTCATGCTTGTGTGACTTTGTGCTCCTCTGGAGCAGCCACCAACTGGGCACCGGGCGAAAACCCAGCACAACCACAGAACGTCTCGGGTAAGACACGCCCACGTCTTGGAGGAAACGCACTGCCTCGCAGTGAGCCGTAATGCAAGGCGATGCGCTGTCATGCAAGGAGTAGTACAGTGCCGCCCAGCAAGCCATGGCATAGCTTCACCGCTTAGCGTTGCAAGGCGTAGCGAAGCATGGGATCCCATCGCATACCATGACATGGCAAGGCATGTTATAGATGCAATGGCGTAACACAGCAAAACATGGTATGGCATAGCGTACCGTAGCATCGAATGCCGTTGCAGCACCGCTCTAATTGACTGGTGTAACCTGAAGTTGAATAGCATAGTGCAGCATTGCTTAGCACGGCGCATCACATACTAACGCTGCATGCGATACCGTGGCGCTATTTAGCACCATCTGGCAGATCATAGCACAGCATAGCATATCATCACGCTGCATTTCACAGCATGGCGTAGCATGGCAGGCTGTATCACGGCATGCACCGGTCTCACAAGAGACTGGTCGCTCTGGGCGACCCCCTGGGGCCCAGGCTTGGGGTTGGCAGGACTACCTCATACTACCATCAAGCAGGGTCAGTCCCCCCCTGGCGACCGCGGGGCCTTGGACGCAGCATCGCACTGCCACGGGTCCTCTTGCACCAAACAAGCGGAGACCCATGAGGCACAGCCTATTTGGGAGAAGTCGAATCCGAGACGACGCACGGGCAGCGATTGCCACCCCATGGGCAGACGCGGATACCCAGTCTGGGCGACCACAGGTGCGCCAAGTGCATCACCAGGCGCGCCAGGTGCGCCCGGCGTGCCAAGTGTGCTGTGCCTCCAGTGGCAGATGCGTCAGGCGCCAACAGGGGGTGTCGCTACTGCAACGTTCATTTTGTGTGGGATTTTGCAAACGACGGTGGGGTGGGGTGATCAGCATCGGGCCAAGACGCCATTTTTTTCTGACACGGATGCTGGGTGTCAGGGTGGCTGAGTCTGCTTCTGGTTGGCGGCCACCCGAGGGGAGAGCAATGCTGATTCTCATCAAGACCAGACAGGGTAGGGGCGCGGATGGAGATGTGGACGTGCATTGGTATTGTTAAGAGTAGGGATGTGATTGGGCCTCCAAGCTCCTGCCTCTGCGGCTTGAATTTTGTTGGTCCATGAGGCCCATTCTTGAAGTGGCGCCTCGAGTAAAATCGGCCTCCCGTCTGGCCGTGGGCCAAACTCGATCGGTGTGCAAGCAATCGCTCATTCTTTTGGGCCCTCAGGGAAGAAGGACAGCAGGATTCACGCTTCCGTTCTCCCGCGCATCTGCTCCCGCCTCGGTGTTGCCTTACTTTCCCCCCCTCGCGCGTGCTTCGAAGCTGCTCAGGCGTCCTTTCGGACGGGACCAGGACAAGGATAAATCCTTTCTAGAGCGTTCCAGAACGCTCTCAGGGCGTTCCAGAACGCTCTGGGAGGGCCGCGGCGCCCGAGATATCCTCCACATACGCCAGATCTCAGAGATTTTTATCCTTATCTGATGTTATATTCGTTCTGGCTTCGTCTTACTTTGCTGCTCCCCCACCCTGCGTGCTCTCCAAGCTGCTCAGGGGGCCTTCCCACGGTCCAGAGTCCTCCTCCTTCGCCTCCTCTTCCCCTTCTCCTCCTCCTCCTCCTCCTCTTCCTCCTCCTCCTCTTCCCCCCCCCCCCCCGCCACTGCGGCTTCATCTGGTCATTGGTGCTGAGTGGGCTGCCTCTCGACAGGAGATGGGATGGCGCCTGGCCGCCCGCTCTGCCCAGGCTTTCCCACCGCTCGACCGTGGATGCACATCCAGGGGCGTCTTCGCCGTCGCCGTCGCCGTCGTTCGTCGTCGTCGTCGTCGTCGTCGTCGTCGTCGTCGTCGTCGTCGTAATCGTCGTCGTCGTCGTCGTCGTCGTCGTCGTCGTCGTCGCCTTCGCCGCCGTCGCCTTCGCCGCCGTCGTCGTCGTCGTCGTCGTCGTCGTCGTCGTCGTCGTCGCCGCCGTCGTCGTCGTCGTCGTCGTCGTAGTCGTCGTTGTCGCTCCCGATGGGGGGGAACCCCCTCCCTTCTTCGTCCGCTCGCTCCCCCTCCCGCCGCCTATTCTGCCCGCGCCCGGCCGGCGAGGTTGGCGAGTCCGCGCAGTTCGACAATTTGTGGGTCGGCCGCCTCCCGCCTCCGCACGCGCGCACGCATGACTGGAGGAGGCGAAGAAGGCGAGGAGAAGGGGAAGGATGAGGAGGAGAAGGAGGAGGAGGAGGAGGAGGAGGAGGAGGAGGAAGAGGAGGAGGAGGAGGAGGAGGAGGAGGAGGAAGAGGAGGAGGAGGGAGGAGGAGGAGGAGGAGGAGGAGGAGGACGAGGAGAAGGAGGACGAGGAGAAGGGGAAGGAGGACGAGGAGCTCTGGTGGCCCTCGGCCCAGCCCGTCGTGTGTCCCCGGGTCGTGGGCGGGAGGGCCCCCCGGAGGCCTCCGGTGGGGGCTGTTGGAGGGCCTCCTGGGAGCCTCGGAGGCCTCCTGCGAGCCTCCTGGAGGTCAGTCTCGTTTAACCGACCCCCATCCCCATCCCCATCCCCTTCGAGACCCCCACAAAATTGTCCCCCCAGTTGGGGATACACTCCTCGAAACCCGAAGGGAACGGCCTATCTCCCCATCCAGGGGGGTAAAATCGGTCAGTGGGGCCCAGGCCACGCCGCTGGGGATGGGGATCGGATAAAAGATGCTTACGGAGGCCTCCTGCGGGCCTCTGGGGGTCCTTTGGGGCATGTCGCGGGCCCGCTGGATGTGTTTGTTGTTTCCTCTTCGAGCTCCCCCTTCTTGACCTCCAGGGTGCCTCTGGGGCCTCTCTTGTTGGTGGCTCGGGGGCCGCCTCGTGTCCGTCTTTGTCTTCAGGGCTTCCTGGGCCGATCTTCGGCGCTCTGGAGGTCGAAGTGGCAAGAATGCCAAGACAACACCGCACCCAAAGGGCTTTGGACGATCTGGGCTTCTTTGGCTGGCCCCCAGAGCTCCCGAAACGGCCCAAGAGACCTCCAGCAGGTCCCCAGGACGTGCCCCTGGGGACCATACTCGGGCATGCTGCAAATGTTGCTCCGCACCACGCTCCCAAAGCCTCTGCAGAAATCATGTGAGCGACGCAGAAAAATTGTGTCGTCTTTACGGACATTGGCGCGTAAGCTGCGCACATAAGGTCGCGCGTGAGCGCCCTCGTGTCCAATTCGGCGTGCCGCGCTGGCGGCCCGCGTCAATGCTGCTGATGATCACGATGATGATTCTGCTGCTGATGATTATGATGCTGCTGATGATTCTGATGCTGCTGATTTTGATGATGACGATTATGATGATTATGATGCTGCTGATGATGACGATGATGCTGCTGTTGATGATGATGATGCTGATGCTTATGCTGATGATGGTGCTGCTGATGATGGTGGTGGTGGTGGCGATGTTGATGATGGCGATGATGGCGACGATGATGATGCTGATGATGATGATGCTGATGATGATGCTGATGATGAGGCTGCTGCTGCTGATTATGATGATGCTGATGATGAGGAGGATGAGTATGATGATGCTGATGTTGATGATGATGACGACGATGCTGCTGCTGATGATGCTGATGCTTATGCTGATGATGCTGCTGATGATGGTGATGCTGATGATGATGCTGATGCTGATGCTGCTGCTACTGATGATGATGATGCTGATGATGCTGACGATGATGATGATGCTGCTGATGATGATACTGTTGCTGATGCTGATGATGATGATGATGATGATGATGATGATTACTATGGTTATGATGATTATGATGATGATGGTGCTGATTATGATGTTGATGATGATGGTGAGGATGATGACGCTGATGCTGATGATGCTGCTGATGCTGCTGATGCTGCTGATGATGCTGATGCTGATGCTGATGCTGATGATGATGCTGATACTGATGCTGACGGTGATGATGATGCCGATGCTGCTGATGGTGATGGTGATGATGATGATGCTGCTGATGATGATGATGATGATGATGATGATGGTGATGCTGATGATGATGACGATGCTGACGATGCTGATGATAATGATGATGCTGATGATGATGATGATGCTGATGCTGATGATGATGCTGCTGATGATGATGCTGATGATGACGATGATGATGATGCCGATGATGATGATGATGGTGATGCTGATGATGATGATGCTGATGCTGCTTATGATGATGATGATGCTGATGATGATGCTGTTGCTGATGATGATGCTGATGATAATGATGCTGCTGCTGCTGATGATGATGCTGATGACAATTCTGATGATGATGATGATGATGATGATGATGATGATGATGCTGCTGATTGTGCTGCTGCTGCTGCTAATGATGATGCTGATGCTGTTGATGATGATGGTGGTGGTGGTGGTGATGCTGATGATGATGATGACGACGACGATGATGATGATGCTGATGATGCGGATGATGATGATGCTGCTGATGATGATGATGATGCTGCTGATGCTGGTGCTGATGATGATGATGATGATGTTGGTGATGATGATAATGATGCTGATGATGCTCATGATGATGATGCTGATGATGATGATGCTGATGATGATGCTGCTGATGATGATGATGCCTATGATGATGATGATGCTGATGATGCTGATGATGATGATGCTGATGATGATGATGATGATGATGCTGATGCTGATGCTGCTGCTGATGATGATGATGCTGATGATGATGACGATGA